AGAGATCGCAAAAGAGCAACCACACCAGAGGATTATCCTGAGAGAGACCTTGAAGGAAGAAAAATAAAGTGATCTTTGCTAGCAGATGGTATAGCACAGAGTACTTGGTAAGCAGGGCTGAATTGAGAGGGTTTATGTGTGACTAGTGTTCTGGGTGTTGCTTTTCAACAATCTGAGCGGCTGACATGTAAATATTTTCTCAAAAACATTTAAAACCGGGAACCAGCAGTTAGCGTAATGGCTATGTCGCTGGACTCCCACGTAGTCGACCGCAGTTTGCGTCCCGGACCCGGTGGCTTAAAACTCACGCCGGGCGCGTGTGCGTGCGTGCCCAAGATCCCGAGAGGAGAATGGAGAAGGGATTGTGGCGTGACCATCCCCCCTGGGGGGTGATTTCTCGCTTTCTGTCTCTATGTCTCTCTCTGTCTGTCTGGCGAGCGCACGCGCCCTACAGTGAAAATCTCTCAAAAAAAACCAAAACAAAACAAAACAAAAAACATTTAAAACCATAAGGACTAGCAGTTAGCATAATGGCTATGTCGCTGGACTCCCACGTAGTCGACCGCAGTTTGCGTCCCGGACCCGGTGGCTTAAAACTCACGCCGGGCGCGTGTGCGTGCGTGCCCAAGATCCCGAGAGGAGAATGGAGAAGGGATTGTGGCGTGACCATCCCCCCTGGGGGGTGATTTCTCGCTGTCTGTCTCTCTGTCTCTCTCTATCTGCCTGGCGAGCGCATGCACCCTAAAGCAAAAAATATTTAAAACCATACTGTTTCCATTGTTATAGAGTCACAAACAAAATCATACAAAATTATAAAAAGTATATTGAACACTATCTTTAAAATTCAGTATTTTTAAATTTTGAAAGTTTATTAACTGTCAAAAACTATGGAGTATGAGCAAAAATTTTTTGATATGTAAAGTAAATGTTTGTGGAAAAATGTAAAAAGAAAAACAGATGAAATGAAAAAACGAAGATATCGGGGCTGGCAAGTGGCATGGTGGTAAAAGGCACTGGACTCCCACATGGCCGACGATGGTTCAAGTCTTGGACCTGGTGGCTTGCTTTCTCACTTCCTCTCTCTCTCTGTGTGTGTCTCTGATCAAACTGGAAAATAATAATGATAATAATAACAAATAAAGTTAAATAAAATAATTCTTTTAAAAAAATGAAGATATGGGCTAAAAATATTTTTAAATAAAAATTAAATAACTTTTTTTTTGTTTTAGAGGTTTTTGCTATAGGGTGCATGTACTTGCCAGACAGACAGAGAGAGACAGAGGGACAGAAAGTGAGAAATCACCCCTAGTGGGGATGGCTATGCCACAATCCCACTCCTCCATTCTTCTCTTGGGATCTAGTACATGCACGCACATGCATCTGGCATGAGTTTTAAACCACCAGGTCCAGGATGTGAACCGCAGTCAACTACATGGGAGTCCAGTGACATAGCCATGACGCTAACTGCCGGTCCCAATATCTTTTTCTTTTTGAGAAGTTTTTGCTATAGTGCACATGCGCTCACCAGAAAGATAGAGAGAAACACAGAGACAGAAAGCAAGAAATCACCCCCCAGGGGAGATGGCTACACCACAATTCCTTCCTGTCCATTCTCCTCTTGAGATCTTGGGTACGCACGCACATGCGCCCAGCGTGAGTTTAAGCCACGAAATCCAGGACTCGAACCGAGGTCAACTACATGGGTGTCCAGCGACATAACATGACGCCAACTGCTGGTCCCTCTAAGTCCAATTCTTAGCCCGGTGTCCTACATCTCCACTTCCCATACTCCAATCCTGCCCACTGCCTTCCCTATGCCCATACATTATCACAAAATTCTACAACTCAGACATCGAGTATAAAAGGGGGAGAAAGAGAGGGAGAAGTAAGTATCCCGTGTTCTCCATTCCAAAGAAACTCCCCCAGAAATTATCTGAGGGCTAAGACTCCCACCACCTGTCACAGCAAGTAAAAACTTGAAGTTGACACATCTGTCCCTACCAGTCTTCTTGACAGTTTTACGAGGACTCCAGTCAATGCTGACATGCGTATTGAAGTCTTCAATGAGCTGCATAGCTCCCATCAAGTTACAGGGCTGGAACAAGGTCTGAAACTTGGGATTGAACGGTTGGTGAAGAGCGATGGAGCTTTTGGCAAAGATTCCCTCCTCTTTCTGGGAAAACAAGGACATAAAGAAGATGTAAGACAACTGTCAGCAGCCCTTAACCTCTGAATGAAAGACTATCCTTCCTACTACAGGGTAAAAAACAGGTAAAAATCCTCAAATAGCCGTTTAACATTTAACATCTTTCCTAAGACTGCCTTTGCTGAATCCTCAGGTATTCAGGGGTTTTATTTATAGCACACGGGGTTCCTTCTTGTTTTATTCTTAGATTTATACTTCTGGTTTCTCTGAGTAATATCTAAAACAAAGTACTCCTCATGATCCTGCCAACGCAAAGGAGGTGAATTCGCCCAGGTGATCACTAGGAAAGCCCGGAGCACTAGGAAACATACCACTTAAACCCCTGAGAGTATTACCCAAGAAGTAGACAGTATTATCATTACCCATTTGCTAGTCTAAGGGCAATGTTTATGGGTTTAAAATTTCAAACGTAGGGACGCGCAGGTGGCAAGCTGGTTAAGGCACTGGGCACGCCCACATGCCCAAACACAGTTTGATCCCAAACCTTGTGGTTTTGCTTTCTCATTTTCCATCTCTCTGTGGTCAAGTTAAAATACATGAATGAACAAACAAAATTAATAAATTTTTAAAGATTTGTTTATTTAATTCCTTTTGTTATTATTATTTTTGACCAGAGCAGAGAGAAAGGAAGAGAGCACGCCACCAGGTCGGCCATGTGGGAATCCAGAGCCTTGAACCACCACGCCACCTGCTAGCCCCAATAAATAATTCCTTAAAAAAAAAATTCAAACTCCTAAGTTCTTCCTGTGGGTAGCATGGTGGTCAAGGCACTGGATTCCCACACGGCCAGCTGTAGTTTGAGGGCCAGACATGGTAGCTTGAAAATCACACATGTGCATGTGTACCCCAAATCCCAGAAAGACCGGATTATGGCATGGCTATCCCCCCAGGGGGTAATTTCTCACTTTCGCTCTCACAGTCTTTCTCTCTGTCTCTGATGAGTACACACACCCTATGGCAAAAAAAAGCCTGTCCTCCAAAATACTTTAAAATGTTATGAACAACGTTAATTTTAGAAAGCACTAACAACGATCCTGATAAATGAACGATAGTTTTAGCATCTATAAAAGGAATAGCGGAGGGGCCAGCAGATGGCATGGAGTCCCACATGGTTGACTGCAGTTCAAATTCCTGACCGGGTGGCTTGAAAATCATGCTGAGCCCAAGCACGTGCATACCCAAAATCCTGGGAGGAGAATGGAGAAGAAGGGATTATGGCGTGGCCACCGAGCCTGGGTCAGGGGGAGAGTTCCTACTTTTCTTCTCACTGTCTCTGTCCCAATCTCCAGCAAGTACATATGCACTAAGACAAAAAACCTCTATTAAAAAAAAAAAAAAAAGAATAGCAGAATAGCTCTAACAAAAACCTAAGAAGTCAGTACCAAAAACCTAAAGAGGAGGAGGAGGGCTTAATAAAAATATCACAAGAACAATATTTTAAAAATTAAATACTGGTGGCAGCCAGTGGTGTGGTGGTTTAGGTGGCTGGATCCCACAAGGCTGACAGACCTGGAGGTGTGAAAAACACACCAGGCATGTTTGTGTGCACACCCAAAATCCTGAAAGAAGAGATGGAGGAGAAGGGATTGAGGCATGGAGAGTGCTTTCTCACCTTCCCTCTCTCTGCTGCTCTCTGGCATATGCACACGCTTTGTAGCCCGGAAAAAAAGAAAATTGAATACACACTCTTATGAAATACAGTAGCTTATATTTATACATATTTTGAAGTTTTTGCCATAGGGTGCATGTGCTCTCCAGAAAGACAAAGAGAGACAGACACCGCCCCCCCACCGGAGGACGGCCATGCTGCAATCCCTTCTCCTCTGTTCTCCTCTCAAAATCTTGGGCACACACGCACACGCACCTGGCATGAGTTTAAGCCACCGGATCTGAGACTCAAACTGCAGTAGAATACACGGGAAGTCCAGCAACATAGCCATTATGCCAACTGATGGTCCCAGTAGCTTATATTCTTTTGACAAACATAGGAAGCCACAGAAAATCGGCATGGTAACCAAAAAATATTCAGGACAATATAATAAATGTAGGTTGCAAGTGGTGAATAACTATGAGAAATTACTTGCCAAGCTAATTTGACACTCAAACCTTTAGAGGTAGAGCTATGTAGGTAAAAGATGCTCTTCCTCGGGGACTGTGGAATTATGTCCACTGGCCTCTGCTTAGAACACCAAAGGAAAAGCCAGGGTTGCCTGCGGCCCTCTCTCCAGAGAATGAAGAAAAATGGCTCCAAAAAAGCCTTCAAGTACTGCCCTGTGTTTCAATACAGCCATAGTTTCCACATGAGTTTTCTCAAAATCAAAATGTGGGAATCTAATTTTCAGTGAGAAACGATACATTTCAAGATCAAGAAAACAAAACTTGGAATCTTACAAGAAATATCCTGGTGGTATTGGCCTCCAAATTGAGATTGGGGTTGGAAGTAGCAAGAAGATGGATTTGCGTCAAGAGCTGGACATGCTGCGGGAAGGAAGGAAAATAACACAGTGCATGTTATGAGGGTCCATCTCGAATCCAGGGAGATCGTACCCAGATACCTGCCACTTCATCACATCCATTTACTCTTTGGAGAGGCTATGAGGACAATGGAGGATCTTCACATCAATCTCTCAAGAATGTTCCCATAAGCAAAATGACAAGACCAGGGGAAGTTTAAGCTCAAACCAGAAGGGCTGAAATTACAAAGAGGAAAAAACTACTTCTGGCAGGGAAGGCTGCTAAAGTTCAGAAAGAATTACTAAGACCTCTGAGATCTGGAATCCTCATTACTACTGAAATCCTTACGTGCTTTTCTGTGAGATCCATAGGGCACAAACACGGGGACCTCTTACCTACCCACCGTGGTCCCTGGTTTCCGTGGGTGCTAAGATACCGACCGTTCACAAAGCTGGCCGTTTTTGGCTTCAGGGTTGGGCCACGGAAAATCCAGTACTCACATTCCCAAGAAGAGTCTTACCTGCTGCATTTGATGCTGGAGTCTCCGCCTCTGTGCTGAGTCCAGAACCAGAGTCCGATCAACTTTCTCACCCTGGGGCTTAACCCTCTCTGCCTCTTGCTGCTGTTTGGCTGAAGATTTCTTCATCTTCAGCTGCTCAAGAAGCTCCTTCATCGTCCGATGTTGTTCATTTAGCAAGTTGGCCAGAGGTTCCTCAAACCTACCCAAACCAACCGGTGACTGAATGTGGACACTCCCCAGGTCACACACACCTGCTCCGTTCTCACGGAGTGCTAGGAGAGCCTAAGCAGTTTCCACTCACTGCTAAGCCCAGGGCCCACTTACGCCAACAGTGAAACTCCCAGGTGATCCAAATCTTCTTCCAAAAGTGTTACTAGCATAAATTCAAGTAAGAGGATTCTAAGGTACCCACAGCCACCCCCCATTCTTCTGCACTTACTCCTCTAAGTAACGAGCAAGTGGAGAAGCAAACAAACAACAAATCTAGGAGCAGGGAAGCTTCTGGATAAGAAGGCAGCCGAGGAGCTGGTGGGAGCTCTTCATCCTTGCATTCCTGTGATACCCACATTAACCTAGGTCACGCTGTCACCAGTGATGTAGGGTCTTCTGAAAACACATCTATTCTCAAATGTACCCGTTATTCCTGCCCCATCTCCCTGCCCATTCAGGCTGCTCTGCTTGCCCTCTTAAACGGTCAAAGACCTTCTAGCATGGAGAAGGAAGGAGGTACAAAGTAGTCCCCCCTTATCCATAAGAGATATGTTCCAAGACCCCCAGTTTGCCTGAAACCACAGATAATACCGAACACTATGTTTTGTTCCTGTACATACATATACCTATGATAAAACACATATAAATTAGGGATAGTGAGAGATTTAATTTACTAAAATAAACCATTATATACATTATGTGAGTGTAGTCTCTCTCTCTAAGTACCCTATTGTGAGGACAGCAGGAGGCATGGTGGTTAAGGTGCTAGGTTCCCATATGGCTGACATTGGTTTAAGTCCCAGACAAAGAGGCTGGAAAATCACGCCTGGCCTGTGCACATGCACACCCGAAATCCCAGGAGGAGAATGGAGGAGGAGGGATCACGATATGGCCATCCTTCCTGGCGGACGATTTCTCACTTTCCCTTTCTCTTTCTGGCAAATGCACACACCCTTTGGCAAAAAAGAAAAAGGGGGGCGGATAAAAACTTATCGTACAGTATTACCTGTTTTCACACTGGGGCCATCAATGGGTAATCGAAACTGTGGGAAGCAAAACTGTGGGTAAGGGGACTACTGTACTGTAGATAAACAGAACTGAGAGCTTAAACTATGACCCTACTACCCTCCACAAAAATACATTCTTTTTGCTCTTTGAATTCCTCACTCAAGTTTCCCAACCATAACTTCCTATCCCTACCTCCTGACAGACACTGTTTCCAGGGCTGAAGCAAGAATCCCAAATGCCTAGTGGGTTTTTTGTTTATTTTGTTTTGTTTTGTTTTGAGAGGTTTTTGCTATAGGGCGCATGTGCTCACTAGAAAGACAGAGAGAGACAGAAAGTGAGAAATCACCCTCCAGGGGGGATGGCCATGTCACAATCCCTTCTGCTCCATTGTCCTCTCGGGATCTTGGGCACACACACAAATGGCCCGGCGTGAGCTTAAGCCACCGGCTCCAGGACTCGAATCGTGGTCGACTACATGGGAGTCCAGCGACAGCCATTACACCAACAGTTAGTGCCCCTAGTGTGTTAGTTCTGAAGAAAAGGTGAAAGAAGACACGTAAGGACTAAGCACAGGCTGATAACCGATGCCATCAGGATAAGATCTGTTGAAGTAACTAGACCAACGGGGCATCACAGTTCAAGGAATCTTCTACTGGACCAATGGTCAAATAGCAACAGCTTCCAATAGGCTCTGGGGATGAAAGTTATGTTTCCTTTTCGTAGTATTTACTATTTCCTGCAAGTTACAGCAGCTCAGGATAAAACCTAAAGACCATGGCATGATCTTTTCAAGAACTAAAAGCACACGATTATCTGTACTATTATGACAGGAGAAGAAGAGCAGAAGCATAAACAGGCGGACAATGTAAGAATAACACATGGCTATTTTTAATACATATCACATAATGAGTTTTATACGTTTTCCTTTTTTTGTTGTTTTTGTTTTTGTTTTTGGAGAGGTTTTTGCTATGGGGCCCATGCACTCGCCAGAAAGACATTGAGACAGAGAGACAGAAAGTGAGAAATCATCCCCCAGGGGGGATGGCCATGCTGCAATCCCTTCTCCTCTATTCTCCTCTCAGGATCTTTGGCACGTACGAACATGCGCCTGATGTGAGTTTAAGCCACCGGGTCCGGGACTCGAACTGCAGGTGACAACATGGGAGTCCGGCGACATAGCCATTACACTAACTGCTGGCCCCATAATAAGTTTTATAAGTTTTTAAATAAATATAATTTTTTTTTCTCATATGGCGTGTGTGCTCACAAGAGAGAGAGAACGAGAAATAGTGAGACAAAAAGTAAGAAATCATCCCTTCAGGGGGATGGCCATGCAGCTATTCCTTCTCCTCCATTCTTCTCATGGTATTTTGGACACACATGACATGTACCCAGAGTGATTTTCAAGCCACAACGTCCAGGCCTTGAACTGAGGTCAGCCATGTGGGAGTTCAGTGCCTAATCACCATCCCATCTGCTGGCACTACTCTTATTTTATATTTTCTTAAGGCGAGAAATCAATCCCAGGGGGGATGGCCACGTCGCAACCCCTTCTCCTCCATTCTACTCTTGGGATCGTGGGCACGCACGTGCACGGTGTAAGTTTAAGCCAACAGGTCCAGGACTCAAACCACAGCCGGCTGTGTGGGAATACAGCATCCTTAACCACCACACCACCTGCCGGCCCCGGCACCACACTAATTAGTAAGTATCACTTTGACCGTTGGCAAGTGGGGCACAGATTACCTCACTTTCCCAAACATGGTGTTTCACTGAAAGATTAAATCAGGATTGGGGCCGACCACATGGCCTAGTGATTAAGGGAAGCCAGATCCATATAGCCAGCAGTGGTTTGAGTTGTGGCTCCAGTGGCCTGAAAAACATGCCAGATGCACATACATGCATACAAAATACCAAAGGAAAGAGAAAGAGAGAAAGGATTACAGCGTGGCCTTGCCCCAGTGGGGATGGACTCTCCCTTTCTCTTTGGCTCTTTTTGGTGAGAGCATGTGAACCCTGGCAATTAAAAACAAAACAAAACAGAACAAAAAACCAGATTTGCACTTGTACCTAAAAGAGAAGCTGCAGCAGCCCACATGGTCCACTGAATACCAGTAGGTGACTGAATACTAACAGGAATTTAAAAACAGTCCTACAATACCCAAATTTAAAAAACTAAGACATAGAGTTGATTTGTGGAACTGAGGTATGTTTATAAATCAAATCCCATTACAGTAAGTTCCTGAGAGGAAGGGTCCCATTTAATATAGCAGAATTCTGTTCTATGAACTTGAAATTAGTGGGTCAAACATCAACTTTTAGTAATCCTGAGAGTTTGGGGTGGCTGTTGTTATGGAGAGTGGCTGGAACTTTCGACTTTCACACACTGGTTTTCACTCAATTGCTAGGTCCCTGAAGACCTAGCCTTCAGATGGATCCCAAGCTCTCTACTTAAGTAAGGCTGTTAAGTCAAAACACAGAGCTAGTAGGTCCAGCAGGGGCACGGTTAAGGTCCTGGACTACCACATGGCTGACTGTGGTTTGAGTCCCAGACCCAGGGGCTTGAAACTCATACCAGATGCATGTGTGTACGTTTCCAAACTCCTGAGAGGAGAATGGAGAAGGGATTGCAGCATGGCCATCACTGGGGAGTGATTTCTCACTTTCTCTGTCTCTCCAGTGAGTACGCATGTCCTTCTCTAAAAACAAAAAACAAAAAACACACACACAGAAACTACTTAAGGGGCTGTAGGACTGCTAGCTTCACTGTGTTCCAAGGCGAAATGTACCACGACCTCTAGCAATCCTCCCAGTGACTCTGTTGCTGCTCACAATGGGTAACAACAGGTTAAAGCACAGATGCAAACCAATGGGGGGTCAACAGTTCTGAATGGTGTAACGGAAGTGCCAACTTGATGAGAAAAGGTCCGTACACGTTTCAGACTCCTGGGACATCACCGTGTGCTCTGCGTGTCTGCTCCATCGACACCCAGCGGACCACAGACTTTCAGTAATATTTCCCAATAGCCCATGGCAAATACGAAGAACACAAGTGACACGTGGACATTATGATCTGTGGCTGGCCACACAGTCCCACACACCTCTCCAGCACCACTCACCTGGAGAAGCTTCTTCGGATGCCAGCTGCTGTTTTTTCTCCCTTCCCAAACAGACGCAGCATGGTCTACAGCTGCACTGCCCCATAGCGAGGAGACGCTTTGCTTGACACCTAACTGCCCACAGGGCTCTGCACCCTCACATCAGTAACGTAAAGCTGGGGATGGGAAACGGTTAACTGCGATCCCTAAAAGTCTATCCAGAAAAGCCCTTTTTCCCCTTCTAAGTCGCAAGATCTGTGGCTAGCCTTACCGTAGGGCTTGAGGGGTGTTAAAGTTAGGCCGTGACTCAGCCGCACGCTCCTCTTCCTCTGGACCATCGTCTTCCATGTTGGAGAATCCCATCTCATCCTGGAACTGCGGGTAAAAATAAAGGTGGGCTTCCTTTTTAGTAAGTATCACTTTGACCGTTGGCAAGTGGGGCACAGATTACCTCACTTTCCCAAACATGGTGTTTCACTGAAAGATTAAATCAGGATTGGGGCCGACCACATGGCCTAGTGATTAAGGGAAGCCAGATCCATATAGCCAGCAGTGGTTTGAGTTGTGGCTCCAGTGGCCTGAAAAACATGCCAGATGCACATACATGCATACAAAATACCAAAGGAAAGAGAAAGAGAGAAAGGATTACAGCGTGGCCTTGCCCCAGTGGGGATGGACTCTCCCTTTCTCTTTGGCTCTTTTTGGTGAGAGCATGTGAACCCTGGCAATTAAAAACAAAACAAAACAGAACAAAAAACCAGATTTGCACTTGTACCTAAAAGAGAAGCTGCAGCAGCCCACATGGTCCACTGAATACCAGTAGGTGACTGAATACTAACAGGAATTTAAAAACAGTCCTACAATACCCAAATTTAAAAAACTAAGACATAGAGTTGATTTGTGGAACTGAGGTATGTTTATAAATCAAATCCCATTACAGTAAGTTCCTGAGAGGAAGGGTCCCATTTAATATAGCAGAATTCTGTTCTATGAACTTGAAATTAGTGGGTCAAACATCAACTTTTAGTAATCCTGAGAGTTTGGGGTGGCTGTTGTTATGGAGAGTGGCTGGAACTTTCGACTTTCACACACTGGTTTTCACTCAATTGCTAGGTCCCTGAAGACCTAGCCTTCAGATGGATCCCAAGCTCTCTACTTAAGTAAGGCTGTTAAGTCAAAACACAGAGCTAGTAGGTCCAGCAGGGGCACGGTTAAGGTCCTGGACTACCACATGGCTGACTGTGGTTTGAGTCCCAGACCCAGGGGCTTGAAACTCATACCAGATGCATGTGTGTACGTTTCCAAACTCCTGAGAGGAGAATGGAGAAGGGATTGCAGCATGGCCATCACTGGGGAGTGATTTCTCACTTTCTCTGTCTCTCCAGTGAGTACGCATGTCCTTCTCTAAAAACAAAAAACAAAAAACACACACACAGAAACTACTTAAGGGGCTGTAGGACTGCTAGCTTCACTGTGTTCCAAGGCGAAATGTACCACGACCTCTAGCAATCCTCCCAGTGACTCTGTTGCTGCTCACAATGGGTAACAACAGGTTAAAGCACAGATGCAAACCAATGGGGGGTCAACAGTTCTGAATGGTGTAACGGAAGTGCCAACTTGATGAGAAAAGGTCCGTACACGTTTCAGACTCCTGGGACATCACCGTGTGCTCTGCGTGTCTGCTCCATCGACACCCAGCGGACCACAGACTTTCAGTAATATTTCCCAATAGCCCATGGCAAATACGAAGAACACAAGTGACACGTGGACATTATGATCTGTGGCTGGCCACACAGTCCCACACACCTCTCCAGCACCACTCACCTGGAGAAGCTTCTTCGGATGCCAGCTGCTGTTTTTTCTCCCTTCCCAAACAGACGCAGCATGGTCTACAGCTGCACTGCCCCATAGCGAGGAGACGCTTTGCTTGACACCTAACTGCCCACAGGGCTCTGCACCCTCACATCAGTAACGTAAAGCTGGGGATGGGAAACGGTTAACTGCGATCCCTAAAAGTCTATCCAGAAAAGCCCTTTTTCCCCTTCTAAGTCGCAAGATCTGTGGCTAGCCTTACCGTAGGGCTTGAGGGGTGTTAAAGTTAGGCCGTGACTCAGCCGCACGCTCCTCTTCCTCTGGACCATCGTCTTCCATGTTGGAGAATCCCATCTCATCCTGGAACTGCGGGTAAAAATAAAGGTGGGCTTCCTGGGGAAAGGGCCTATGAAATGGCTTCAGCAGTGGAAAAGGAAAGAGCAAACTACAGATTACAGGACTTAAATAATGCTGGCAACCAGAGAGGGCTTGCATGAGCACCCTTCTCACTTCAATGTTCCAACAGCACACTTGGGATAACTGTCATGCCAGGGAAAACGTCTCTCAATTGGCCAACTTGTAATGCTACGGACAGAACACAGATAACCCCAACTGATCAATCGTACACAGAAATATATTCCAAGAGGCATATTTTTGGAAAAGATAACTGTTTTGCTCAGAGTAGACAAAAAACAGTTTACAATCGATCATTAAGGATCAAATAATAGCAGGAAAGGCCGCCCAAAAAAATACAAGGAAAACTTTACTAAGAATAATCTGCATATGTTGGGCCTTGCAGGTGGCGTGGTGACTGAGGCGCTGGACTCCCACATGGCCAACAGTGGTTCGAGTCCCAGACCTGGTGGCTTGTTTCTCACTCTCTCCTTATCTCTCTCTCTGTCTCCCTCCAGTCGAATTAAAAGATAAATAATAATAACAAATGAAATTAAATAAATAAATCTTTTTAAAAAAGGATAATTTGCATGTAGATTCTCAAAGAGTTTATGAGCTAGCAAAATTCTCTTTCCACAATAATGTATTATTTCCTAGGTGGACTAAAAAGGAACTGACTCAGTCAGACCAGCCTTCTGGAGAGGGGTCCCAGGGATGAAAAGACAAAGGCTTGCAGGAGAATCTACGTGTACCACCCACGCTCTACCTCGAGGATCATTACTCACAGTTTCAAAGAGCTCTTCCATCAGCTCATTCACTTCCTTTTCTGCATAAAAAAGCCAAATAGTACACTGATGTCATAAATTCGTTTCACTTTACCAGAAGGGGCGTTTCCATTAAGATAACATGCTGTTTTCAGCAAAGCATCGACAAAATCCTCCTATCTAGCCTTCATTCATTCATTCAAAACCATTTACTGAACACCAAGTCAGCCCTTGTTCAGATGCTTGAGAAAGTGAGAACTCAAACAAGAGAGTTCTATTCTCATGAAGCTTAAATCCTGGTGAGAAGATGTGGGGAAAATATGAGACAGATGATTTCTTCTAATATTTAATTGTCAATGGGTACGTGTGCTCACCAGAGAGAGGAAGATGGGGGCAGAACCTCCCCCAATAAGGGTGGTCATGCTGTTCTCCCTTCTCCATCCTGATGGGATATGACACGCACACACGTATCCAAAATGGTTTTTCCTTTTATTTTTTCCTAGGAGAGGTTTTTGCTATAGGGCATGTGAGCTCACCGGAGACAGAGAGAGACAGAAAGTGAGAAATCCTCCCGTGGGGATGAAGACACGCACACACGTATCCAAAATGGTTTTTCCTTTTATTTTTTCCTAGGAGAGGTTTTTGCTATAGGGCATGTGAGCTCACCGGAGAGACAGAGAGACAAAGTGAGAAATCCTCCCGTGGGGGATGAACAATCTCTTCTCCATTCTCCTCTTGGGATTTTGGCCATGCGCACACACACGCCCGGTGTGAATTTTAAGTCACAGGGTTCAAACTCAAACCACAGTCAACTATGTGAGAGTCCAGTGACAACCATTACGCCATCTGCTGGTCCCCTCCAGCATGTTTTTCAAGTTGAGAGGATTCAAACTCCAGTTAGTCATGTTAGATCCAGCTCACTCACTCATTCATTCATTCATTCATTTTTAGAGAGATTTTTACTATAGGGCACATGTGCTTACTGCAGAGACAGCACATAGAGTCATATGAAGAATAGATGAAAAAAAAAAAAGAATAGATGAGGGCACTGCTTGGATTCCATTGGTTTTCTGTGGGGCTATGTGGGCCTTGAGTAGGTACCACTCATGGACTTCTTTGCTCTGCCTATAATCAGCCTTTTCCATCTTCCCCAATGTACTGTACAAGTAATTCTTTCTAGTTCTAGTACTAAAGCACAGTTAGAAAACATAAGTTTATAAAATTTTGCCCTCCTTTCTCAGCCCCAGTAATAGTCTTCCCTGGTTTGCTGATTACCACAAACATGTCCTTCTAGCTAGCCCTGTGGCATCTGGATAATGCTCTAAATGTTGTGTCTGAATTATGGACATTTGGCTCAAGGGTGTTTGGATTTCCCTATAGAATTCTAATATGGTCTGCTTTATAATTACGCTTATCATAAAAAAGCAAATTTTCTTTAAGAAGAGAAATAGAGCTAAGCAAAATATTTTCTGTTTGAATTGAAAAAAATGTCACAAAATTGTTGAGAAGTTTGTATTTATTGCAGAAGTCTCTGAAGCTCTTGAGGCACTTTCAGTGGTGGTTGGTCTTCTGAATTTACAAACTCTGTTTGGCAGCACTTAGAAAAGACATAAACAGATTCTCATTTTTACTGGAGAATGGAACAGACCCTTTGTACAGAAAACTAGAAACAACATCCCTCCAAATTTTATTCCATTGAGTGATGATGGCTTGTCTTCCAAGATGGACACTCAATGAAAGAGGCATCAGCATCCTTCCAGTTCAAAGTAACTAATGCCAAAATAACTTAGGCATCTCAGTAGATTGTATAATAAGTTCAAGTGAAATGGCATTTTTGTTTAAATTTGCCATAGGATGTGTGTTCTCGAGAGAGAGAGAGAGACAGAAAGAGAGAGCGAAAGAATGTGAGAAAGCAAGCCACCAGGCCCAGGACTCAAACTATGGTCAGCCACGTGGAAGTGTCCAACACTTTAAACACCATGCCACCTGCTGGCCATCCAGAGCCAGTCCTCTTAAAGGGACTCAATTCCAATGTGATAATATCAGACATATGAGAGCAAAGAGCAGCAACAATTTAAAATTCAATCCCAGTGTTCACTTATCATAACAGAACTCAATGACTGAAAAGCTGGCCCTTCATTCAGGCATCTCAAGAGAAAGTAGTTAACTGTGGAAGACCTCCCTGACAAACTACACATAAACTGAAGAAATTACAGTCAGACTACCAAAAAAGGGAAGGCAGGACTATTCCAGGCCAACAGCGTAACTGAAATGAGATTTGCTTCTCTGAGCAGGATGGGCATGTGTACCCACGATCCAGGGCTGGCTGAGGCTAAGAGTGAATCGCAGCATTAGGGATCCTGCCGAGGTGCTCTGTCTTTGTCTTTGTGTGTGTGTATGTGTTTGTGTGTGTGTGTGTGTGTGTGTGTGAGTCTGTCTGTCTGTCTCTCTGCTAGAATAAACTTTAAATAAACAGAAGACCTTCAGGAAGAAATGGTAAACAAATCTCCAGAATAGGATAAGGGGGGCCAATAGGTGGCATGATGGTTACAGCACTGGACTCCCACACGAATGAATGTGACTTGAGTCCTGGACCCAGTGGCTTGAAACATGCCAGGTACACGCCCCAAATCCCAAGAGAATGGAGAAGGGACTGCAGTGTGGCCATCCCCCTCAGGGGATCATTTCTCACTTTCCCCTCCAACTCCAGTGAGCATATGCACCCTGTGGTAAAAATCTTAAAAAAAGATTAAGGGTTAAAAGGTAAAAATTTTTTAAAAAGACTTTAAAAGAACAAGAAGAGAGGGCCAGCCGATAGAGTGGTGGGTAAAGTG